ATTTGAAGTGAGCCACAAAGCAACTAGCAATCTCCTCTTTTGAAGTTATGTCTACTCAATCAACCTCAAGATTTACTATCAAGTTTTTCCTTCTTCTCCCATTGGCCATAGCATGAAAAAATTTGGTATTCCCATCCCCTTCCTTTATCCACTTACGCCTAGACTTTTGTCTCCATAATATCTCCTCCCTCAACAGGACCTCTTCTAATTCCTTTTTCAGTTTCCATCTCACTTCTTGATCCTGCCCACTCATCAATCTTTGAGACTCTTTTGCATCTAAATTCTCAATCCGAATCATTAATGTAAATTTTGTTTCCTCCATTCAGCCAAATTGGTCCCTATTCAACTCTTTTATTTTGGATCTCAATCTTTTTAAATTTTTATGAAATCTAACCCCTTTTCATTTCACCCCCTAGTCTTTTCACTCCACCATTCCTTCACCTTTATTTATGAAATCTGGATGTGTTAACCACATATTCTCAAATCTGAAGGGTCTTGGTCCGGTTCCAAATGGATCTTGTCTTACTTCTATAGGACAATGGTCGGAAGTAACCCTAGGTAAAGCCTTGGCCACCAAACCTCTCCAATGATTCTCCCAACCTTCATTGAAAAGAAATCTATCTAGCGTTGAACAAGTTGGGTTTTCCTGAAAGTTGGACCAAGTGAAGATTGCATGTAGTAAACGAAGCTCCCGTAATTTACAAGAATTGATGAAATCATTAAACTTATTCATACTGGTTGTAATGTGCTGTCTAGGATTATTTGTCTCTGTTGTAAATCTTATTACATTAAAGTCCCCCCTAGACACTAGGGGCATTCCCATAGGCCTTGGATGCCATAAAGCTCCTCCCATAACTCATTCATCTCTCTATAATTATTTGGCCCGTACACATTTGTTAGCACCCATGTGAAACCTTCTTCCACCATCCTGGATTTTAGGGATATGGAGAAATTACCTATTAGCTCCTCTATTGGTTCTACAACATCCTCCCTCCATAGAGTTACTATTCCCCCTGATGCTTCCCATGAGGGAGCTGAACACCAATTCATTCCTCTTGCTCTCCAAAACCCTCTAACCCACCTTCTATCTAGTTCTGATAGTTTGGTCTCATGTAGCATTATAATATCAAGTCTTTCTCTTCTAAGCAACTCCTTAATTAATCTCCTTTTTCTAGCACTTCCCAACCCTCTTACATTCCAATTGATGAGCTTCACAGAATAATATCGCTTTAAGCCCTTAAGGACACTAACTTCCCATCGATTAGGGGCTTTCTTCCTCTCCCCTCTACCGCTGAACTCAATATCCCCTTCGATATCTAAAATTAGTCTCTCTACTTCTGATATTTTCTTCTTTTTCCTACCCTTAATGTCCACAGACTAACTAGAAAGCTCTTTATTTCCTGTCTTCTGCTCCATTTTATTGATACTTGCATCCGGTTTGAAATTTTTTGGGGTTACTTCCTTCAGTTCCTCTTTCTGTTTGTATTTCCTCCAACAAAGTGCAAATCTGCTCCCAAATCCTTTCCAATTCCTCCTCGTCTCTTTTTTTCTAAAGAGACCCCTTCCCCAACTTCTACCCCAACCACCGGATGTTCCACGATATTAATTTTAGACTTTCCATTCAAACTACCTTTGTGAAGATTTATTGCTTTGGTTTGCACTCCCCACATTTTCATCGAGGCCTTAAGCAAATCTCAACAATTCTTTTGACTTCCTCCTGTTCTTCTTCCCCTTTTCAACCAACCATCTGCGTTCTATTGCCACCAAGAGGGCTTCCGTTTCCTCCTCCATCCCCTTAAAGGAAACCCCCAAGAAATCCCTAAAACTAAGAAATATCGACCACACCCAATCTAAGACTTCGTTCTTTTCAACACACCTTAAGTTCACCGGCTTAGGTTGCAGTTGACTCACCATAATCTGGATCCAAATGAACCCTGGAATGTCTCCATTTCCCTGCCAAACTCCGGAGGAGTCTGACAAGGGCTCGAGATGAAGGCCCCATTAAAACACCTAACTCTAGTGTTCAGGATTCTTTGAGCGTCTTCCCTCATTGGAAAATTGAAAGTCCATCTTCTTTCATCTAGATGATGCACCTCAATCCCTGGTGGACATTTCCAAACCTTGTTTACCCACCTCTGTAGGCCAAGGAGACAGAAGTCCTCCCAATCAAAAGTTCCAACTAAACACGTTTGTAGGAAATGCACTCTCTTCAACGCTCTCCTTATCCACCACCAGGAAGAAGGATCTCAGGTTTGCCTTGAGAGAGGTTTCCCCTCTTGATGGCCATGCTCGAGCAATGCCACCTTCAACTTGCTTCCTCTCTTACCCATGCGTAACCGCTCTACCCCCTCCCTGTCTCCTTCCGCTTCCCTAGCTAATTTTTCCTTCCTACCTTGTACTTTGGGTTTCCGGGATCCTCGAAAACTGCTTTCCCCGGTGATTCCAACTCCGTGACTCCCTACCTTCTGACCTTGCGCTACACCTCATCGTTGGAGTTCATACTTTCAAATCTGTTTCTTATGCTGCTCCCTTAATGCCAAGGAGCTGGTTGATGCTTGAACCATTATCTGCTGGTGCCTAAGGTTTCACTGCCGTGCATCGGAGCACCAAAAATTTAAAGCCCATGATTCTATGCTACCTTTAAGCTTGAAATGGGAAACCAGGGAAGGACAAAAATGAAATTCGAGTGCATGTCAAAACAAAGATAGATAAATAATAGTAAGAGATAAGTTTATAGTTTTATACATTTTAACTTTCTATTATCAATGATGACCAGAGATCTAATATATGTTCTTTGTTTGTAAAGCTAGTTGAAAGAACACTTCTCATTTGCTAATTTCCTATTCATTATTGTCAGTTCTTTGGAATATTTACTTGTCCCAATACCAACTCCATACCCTTGAAGAACAGTGGAATTCTGAAACCCCAAATTTCTTCTTATATATTAACATATAAATATTCATCATCATCATCTAAGCTTTGTCTCAACTATATGGGGTTGGCTATGTGAATCCTGTTCTGCCATTCTGTTCTGTTTCATGTTCATTGTTAAATTGTGGGCTTGAACATTATAAATATTATAGCATATAAACATTATATGAACATAGACCAGCCAGGCTTTCTGGGCCAACCCCCATAATGTGTGGGCTTGATGCAGGTCTGAGCTGGGTTTGAATGAAAAGCTTATGTCTGGGCCCAGAAATTTCTAGTTTGGAAGGGCCAGGCAATGTGGACTGGCTTAGATTTAATTATCTTTTCTAGATTCCTTTTCTCTCTCATGTAAACAGTCTGGTGAAGTTAGGATTTGTCATTTTGAAGAGTTGAATCTGTGGATAAAGATGTAAATTTATCTGACTTGTACCAAAAATAAGTTTATATAAAAAAGCTGGCTTTGTGGATGTATATCATCTCACCAGTCACCCACCAAATATGGAGTTCCATGCAACACTGATCTTCCATTTTTTGAGGGCATTTGAATTCCTGTAATTCATTCTCTTAGGAGACTTGTATCATCTTGCCCTTTTCTTGTCTCATAAAAGTTTAATATCTTTTCTTTTTCTTTTTTTTTTCTTTTGTTCTTTTTGTCTCCATGGGACTACACAACGGGGATTAGCCCATCCCCCAAATCCATAACTCCCTCAACCCTGGTGCAGGCAGGATTTGATCCCAAGTTTCTGCTACAACCAGTGGGAAACCTTACCAACTAGCCAGTTGGAACTTTGCTATTAATAGCACCTTGCTATTAATATCCATTGAGTTGGAATTTTGATATGTTTGATGTTCTTTTTTCCTTCCTCAACCTATATTATCCAGGTGGTGAACTAGTTTTGCCAGTGTCAAGTGGTTACTAATTCTTGGTTGTCGCAAAATGCATCTTTGTAACCTGTTGCTTGGATCCTTGATGAATGCTTGTTTATGAAAACCAGGATAGAATAGTGTTTTGAAGTAGCATAGTTACAATGCATGACGTGTCCCTTTCACGTGGCACTCTCATGAGTGTGGGGTTCTTAAACATCCAACTGTTGGTTTCTAACTTCAGGGAAATGTAGTAAAAAACCAACATCACTGAATGATAATACTTTTTTTTCCCAAGCATGGAAGGACGCAACTAGGATGGGTTATTTTTCTATACAGGTATTGAACTGTCTACTTTTACAGAGGTGGTGCTCCTTTTCTGAGTGGGACACCGTATATGTCAACATATTTTCTGGAGACTGCACAATAGAGTTATGGGAAAGGTCAATTAATTGGGTTAATAGGCTAATTATTTTGGCTATAGATATCTCTGGTTGGCCCAGAGACTGGATAATCCTTTGGTGAGTACTTGTACTATCCACGTTGAATCTTGAACAACTTTTATAAGCAGGATCACTGGTGGAAAAGGTGCATCTCAGGTTGTATAAGATTTGACCTATGCTATGTAAGAGAGGAGAAGAGAGAAGATGAAACAGTAGAGAAAAGAGAGTATTCGCCAAAAAAACTGTCAGTGGCAGCACACTCACCGACTTGTATATTAGGGTGTTCAAAGCATAGAGAAAATTACAATAGTACCTGATTACAACTTTACAAAAAAAAAAGATAATAATAACTCTAATAACAGTGACAGCATTCCTAACAACAGCTATTATCTGTTTGAAGTGCCTAATCCCATTATATATCATCGAGTGGTTCTTAATTCCAATCTGCTTAATGAATGAGAATCCTTTTCTGCAGTCCGCAGTTATATTTTTCCTTTTCTTTTTTATGAGTCACACTTGACCTTCGACTCTTTTCTGCTCTCAAAATGTTTTGAACTGGAAATGCAATCCATCTTTAAAGTAATAATAGCTGATACTCATGTCTTAGATAATCAAGCCATTGCTCTGCACGTGATATGCTCGATTGCATGCTATTGACTTGGTTTAATTTGTCAATTTTGATGGGCATCTACCAGATTCTTGTTTAAGAACAAAGTGCATTTACTGGATCAATATTAAGTTTCACAATGTGCAATACTGCAGGCTTTGGTGTTCTTATTAGCTCTTATGGTAAGGGCAGCAAACCAACCAGCAGATTATGATAGTGACGACGAGTACATTGCTCCAAGGTCCACAGCCCGGCAGCCATTAATAAACAGGCAAGGAGTTCCTTCAACAGGGTCGCCTGTGGCTGGCTCCCTCGATCAGCGTCCTAGCAGGAATGATGCCTGGAGCACACGAATGAGAGAAAAGGTGTGATCCAGTTACATTTCCCATTTTTAATAGTAAGAGAAGAATCTTTGGAGACTTGGCTGTAAAGAGGGTTCCTTGATACAAGGGTTTAACAGGAGGGGGTGGGGAGATCAGGTTGACTAATTTTAGCCCATTAATTGGTTGCCTCCCCCTACCACCCAAACACACACATACACATACACGCACACGCACACACACATGCACATGCACATGCAAATATGAACCAAATTTACATCCCATGGAATGGGTAACCATCTTGATTCTTGATATATTGCTGACAGTATGGTCCATTAAATTTATCTTCATGTGGGGTCATACGCTTTATATAATTCTTTCCTCACAATTCTTTGTTCTCTGTTGCATAAAACCCAGTATGGCCTTGACACGTCGGAGTTCACATACAACCCATCCGATCCGAACAGGTTTCAGCAAGCGCCAGCACAGCCAGCAGAGGAAAGGAGCCGTTGCACCATAATGTGATGCATCCATTTGCCCTAGTGTCTGCCTAGAGTTCGGGGAGGACGGTTCTTTAAAAGTTAGAACAGGTTTTGCTGGATGTTGGTGTGCAAATTTCAAACTTGATTTTTCTTTTCCCAGGCTTATGTAGAGTACAAAATTTTCAGGACATTTTTATCCTCGGTATCTTCCGCTAAACATGTTTCTTCTACAAACCCCTTTGCATCCATCTATCTAAGATACCTAACACCTGTAAATATATAACTCAAAGGAAGGTTATGAATTGTCATAGTAGAATGTCAAAAGGAAGTTAAGAAACCATTTAAGGATTTTACCAAAAAAAAAAAAGAAAAAGAAACCATTTAAGGTGGTAACTAATGGAAAAATTGACATTATCAGTTGTGCAAATCAAGATTGATATAATCATATAACTGGAATACTTATTTTACTAAAGAGGAAAATATTAACCATTAGAAACTGATGTACGGTGTTGAATACTGAAAATGTGTTTTAATATGGCGGTTCTTTGTTAACTGCCAGCTCAGTTTCTTTTTGTTGGGTATGATCCTGCTAATCTTAGAACATGCGTTTGCATTTTGTTGGCTGGGCTTTGAAATCAAACTTAGGTTGTGCTTGGTACCATTGCCATTTGTACAATGTGTTTCAGGTTAGTCAATGCAAAATTTTGAAAAATTATCCTATCACATCACATCAGATAACCATTTCTATCAAAAAATTATAGACATTTGATTGGGTGTTGTATTTATACCGGGAGAGTCATGGCTCCCTTTATGGTATAGAAATCCCCACATCTAATGCATTTTTTCATGTAAGTTTCCTCCCTTCCACAACTTCTCACCCAATGGGCCCTTCTATAAAAAATTCCTAATTCCACCCCTGCATTTTTGAAGAAACTGTAATGGTACCAAATGTTGTATTGATAACTCAAACATTTGTGGTAGAAAAAAAAAGTAGTTCTCATAAAGTTTGTATTGACTAACCTGAAACTTTGAAAATCTGAAGGACAAAAATCCTTAACATAGGAGGATGTTTGAACCCTGCTATGACCTTGGTCAAGAATTCCTGGGACTTTGCAGGGACCATGTGTTCAGGGCTTCGTACCAGACATTGAGCAAACTCTTGGGACTGGAATGGTAAAGAGATTAGAAACTGAATGGGACATAAATATTTTGGCATCTCTCAACATGGTAGAGGAAATAAAAATGCCAAAAGTATTGCTGAAACTACATTGAATTTTGAGATGTGATTCCTGCAAAACTTGCCTGAAGGATTTAGGGTGCTTTTTATGTTTATGTTTTGTACGTAAAATTCATCTTTCAGTGAGCTGCTGATTAGGCATCTCTTGATAACCGATGTAAAACTTCATGTTTGACGAGTTTTACATTGATTCATGTTGTAAAAACTCCACTCCATCCAAACGCCAACAAATCTAAACTGGAGTGGAGTTCTACATCGCTCTTCATTTACACTTAATCCAAATGCCGATAATATTGAACCAGCGTAAACTTTTACATCGTTCTTAATTTGCACCAATTCCAAACACAGCCTAAAGGATAATGGAAATTTCTCTTCTGGAATGCGAATTATTTATCCTAATTCAGTGAAGGATGCCTGTTATGTTTGCTTCCTTGCTTTGTTACTGATTCAAAGGACGCAATATGGAGGGCTTCATGGAATGGAATGTGACTAATCTGGTGGTTTCCTTGTATTTGCCCAAGTTTTAGGATTCAAATGTGGGGAATACCCACATTGAAGAAAGCCCATGAGCAGCTTGTTCGTCTGTACTTGTTTGAAAAACAGAGCACCATCTTCAGCTTCCACTGTAATGCGATCGTTTCAGAAGATGAAACTGAAGCCAGAGGTGAATCTGTTCATAAAAGACAATGGTTTTAAGGGTTTCAGTTGGGAATAAAACTCTTGAAGAACACAGAAATTGACAACAAAGGCCAATATTGGGTTTAAGAAAAATTTAGAAGTTATGTGGTATCACATGTGAACTGATTGTGAATGAACGCTAATGAACACTAACGACAGGGGAATCTTTAGTTAATTGTCAAAAAAAACTTTAAAGATACTTTAAGATAATATGTAAATATTAGAGATAGGATAAGTCTAAATCAATTTCCTAAGACTTAGGGTAGTTCAATAGATTTAACCATTTTAATGCCCTGTAAGACTGTAACCGATTATGACATATTGACAGTAGCTTGGCTGCTTTGTATGAGAAAATGATCGGGACCTCTTGACACATTTACATCACCTTGATTTCGCATATCTTGGTCCATGAACCGTATTCTCCATGGCACTAGCCAACTAGAGACTTCTTACTTTGGTTTCATGGTGGGTTTAAAATAGCCCACCAAATGTTCTACTTCTCTTTTTACCTAAAGAGATTAGGTATTCTTGCCTGTGGTCCAGAAGAGATTTATACTAGACTGTGGTCCTTGGTGATTTAATTATTATTATTTTTTATAATTAACCGAAATATTTGAAAGAATGAACCACAGATTAGATAAAAAAGTTTCTTATGAGCATAGCTAGTAAATACTTATACGGCATAAATACATTAATGAAATAATCAAGAACAAAAAAAGCACAAAAAACAAATGTAATTTCCCCATTTTTTGTATTTTCTATATTTAGAAAACAGTATTCCTAATATCATTTTTAAAACATCTATATATATATATATAAGAGTCAATTGTTTTCTTTTTCATTTTTCTATTCTTAGGTAGGGGGAGTCGTGGGCTACTCCATGAGAGAATGCAATTATCTGATAAGTCCACTTCATTACGTGATGATTCTTGGGTCCTATCTCAGCATCTCATGCTCTGTCTTTTTCACTTTGAAAGCACTCACAAACGGAAAATGGCATGTTGATATAGAGATTTGGTAAGGATTTAAATTTCAGAGAAGGCGGTTGGACCTTCTCAGTTTCTTGTTAACATGGGCCACAACTTGCATGGATAAGGTACTCTTCCAAGGAGGGTTTCTGCGTTGATTGAGCGGATTCGGAGGGAGTTATCAAAATTAGTTTCATTGGAGGATCGGATTCAGTGAAGGGTATATTTGATCTGATTTGATAAGAAATCCAATCAATCCGAATTTGAGAAGAATCTCTCAGATTTCCAACATTATGATTCGAATTCGAATGTTTTATTGGATATCCGATTTGATTTGGATTATAGTAATAAAACATGGTGATATAATTATATAGTATAGTAATATATTACAATATAATATAATTATATAGAATATGCATATATAATATATATATATATAAGTAATATATAATATTTCATAATTAATTGATCAGATCGAATCCTGATAGATCAGATCGGAGTATATTTAAATTTGATCCTTTAACTAGATTGACTTTCTGATTCAATCCGGTTTGTTAGAATCAAGGCAGGTACCAAATGTAAATCCAACTTATTTGTAGCCCTACTTGCAACATGCAACTCCGGATCTCCTACCCATAAGAACTCTATCCACTCCTACTCACAAAATGCTATTTCTGTGCATTGGAAACATCTCCCATGCATAATACTATATAAGAGCATAAGATGTTTCCTATGTGTGGCTGTGACCTCATGTGGATAGATGTAGGTATAGTTCTTGTGGGTAGGAAATATGGACTTGTCGTTGTGAGAATCCTTTTCAAAGTCCAAATGGACACATAATCTATACTATATCTCAAGTTTTTAAAATCTGACCCGGAAATGGAACCATTTTGGCCACCAGTTTTTGGGTCAGCAGTTTGACCGTCTGGATCAAACAGTTCAAACGGTTTGAGCATCTTTCCCATTAGATTAGAATATTAGGGTAAGATGCATACTATATAAGAGAAAATAAGGGTTGAAACATGAAAGAAAACTGTTGGCTGAACTGAAAGAGTTTAGAAGAAGAAGAAGAGGATTTGTAGGTTTGCAGTGGCGACGACGATGGCGAACTACAGCGGCAACAGTGGTGGCGTTCTCAGTCTCAGATCTCACACTCTCTCTCACATTCTCGCGCAAGAAAGACAGATCTGAAATTTCTTAGTCTCAGATCAAAGACTTGTGAATCTTAGAGATTTCTCAGATCTGAGATCTGAGCAGCAAACCGTTCTTCGGGTTGAACGGTTTACCGGTTAAACCGTCTGGGTCAACGGTTTTTGACCAAATGTCAGGTTTGGGGTAAAATGGAACCGGTCGCTTGAACGGTTTTCGATCCGAACGGTTCGACCGTCCGTGTCAACGATGGTTCGAAAACATTGCTATATCTATACTATATACAAAAGTGTGAATGCAATGTGAAACTCTTTTTAGACTAAAATTACCTTCTACTTCTTTGTTTAAGAAAGGGTAAAAAAGCCATTTTATTACAACTTTAATGGCTACTAAAATGCCCATAATTGTGTATTTAGTCCATTTTAAATGATAAGGTTGAAAATGTATCTTCAATTATTACTTCCCACATCATTTAATCACTTCTCAATAAGTCTTATACTTAAATTATTAACTCCCATTTTCTTTTATTAAATTAGATTTGTGTCAATATTTTTAATAATATAAACCCATATATTTTAAAGCTGACCCAAAAACAAAACCATTTTTAATCCAAGTGGTGGCTAAGAAATTCAACCACCCAAATCAAATTGATCAACCTATGAACTCATAGCTAGGTAATAAAATTTTTGAAATAGAAATAAATATAGAAACTTACAAAAAATGTAAAAAAAATAGATGCATTTATGATATTTTTATTAATAAATTTAAAAAAAATAAGTGTAATAAACAAGAATTATTTTTATTGGAATAAAAATGAAATACATAATTTAGAACTCATAAAAAATGAAATTATTTTATTATTTGGCAAAGATTAATAGTTATTTTTTTTAGAAGATCAATAGTTCAAAATTTGGGTCAAACATGTTAACCTTTAATGTCATAAATAAATAATAAAATGTAAAAATACAAAAAATGAAAAAATACGGAAATTTTGCTTAAAAAGAAACATTTAGGCACATGTATAATATCATATATTTATCATATTAAATAAAAAGTAAGTGTGGTGTATTAGAATTATTTTTACACACAAAAATACAAAAAAAGTTATAGAAAAATTGAACACTTCTATAATTCTATATTTACACTACTATTAAAAATATGAATAAGATTGTGGAACTTTCTTTTGACTAAAATATTCATTTTTGAATTTAGTCCATATTTAATTATGATGTTTAAATTGTAAATTGAACTACTACTTTTCACTCAATTCAATTTCCTCTATTTAAATCTTACATTTTTTGATAAATGAACAAAAAAAGATTAAATATTACAAAAAGAAGAATCTAACTAGGCAAGTAGGCCTATTAATGATACTTGAAACTTCACAACTCGATCCGATTATCGCATATTTGGTTGATGTGCTTATGTAATTAGATTTGGATTTGCAATTCGCATATAAAAACAAACTAAAAAAAATAAAGTTTATAGAAAATTTTGGATACATTATTACTATCATTATCATCATCTAGAATTACCACGTGCACACTTACTAGTGTAGTGAAAAAACGTCTTTTCAGATCACTTCTTGTAAATTAGAAGTGAGGTATGAGAAGAGTGTGGTCCGACTTTGAGAAAACCTTTTCTCAGTTTCTTGTTTTCCCATATGGAAAAGCATGAAAAACTTTTTCTAGTTTTTCTACCGTTGCTTGCTGGCAACAATATTCTAACGTAGTATTGAAAAATTCCTATGTAAAACAATATGCATCACAAACAAAATGAGTTTACATCTGCCCCCCATTGGCTCCCCACAAGCACATCTCAAATTTCTCTATATTCATTTGGAACATCTTTCGTACTTGTCATTGGGAGACGTCTCCAATACACAGTTGGGATGTGATGTGGGGTGCACTCTTTGAGGAGCCAATGTGATATCAAATTAAAAAAAAAAATACAAAATTTGCTTTTGGTCAAGAAATCCAAGATGCATGTGAAAACGATGCAAATGAAGTATAAATCTCGATTCAGGGTAAATTTGCATTCTTTGCCAATGTTTATATACATTGACAAATGACAAAAAACACATTTTCGAATACATATTTACATATAAAAATACATCAATAAAAAATATGATTAAATTTGCATTCAAGTGGGCAAAAGATATGCTTTATTAGAATTCGTGCTTGGTTCCATTTCAATTTATATGAACCGTTTTACGGTCTACATATTTGCATTAACACTTATTTGCATTGTTTCCATAAGGCTAATTTGGAAAGTCTTTAAAAATGGACGCCGACGGACCGTAATCTCCACTTAATCAAAACGCGGGAGACGGAAAACATAAATGGAATAGCAGAATAACTTCCTTTGTCTTTCTTTTCACTCTTTAACAGTAGAAATCAATGGGAGCCCAAATTTCACAGTCCGTCTCTGTGTTGTCGGTTTTCCTATTGGTGTTAGTGAGTGGACGTCCACTTCAGAAAAAACAGGAAAAGAAAATTAAAAAAAAAACGCCCATTTCAACCTTTCCAAATCTTTCCTGTACGTCTTGCAAGCTAATTTGTTAATCTGGTGACTCTTCTGTAATCTCTGTTCTGCTGGTTCCGTCCCTTGAGGTCCACGCATATCGTAAGAGATCACTTTTTTGTTAGGGTTTTGTTCGATTCTGCAATCACTCCTTTCTTATTAAACACAATGCACCGTCTTCTGGTAGCTTGGTAGGGCCTTGATGTTCCTTTCCAGAAAACGCCATGAAAACAGCAACGATGATCTTAGCTTTTTTTGGATTAATCTATATTTGGCGTCTGAGATCAATCCATTTTTCTTTCCGATAACTAAATCTGATGGTGCGCAATCCGGCTGGTCCTAGTTGTCAATGACCTGGCCTCTGAACGGAGCTGCGGGGAACCTGAAACCAAGAGGGTGAAAACGCTCCGGGGGAGGCCCGGTGTGGAGGCTCCGAAGCTCAAGTTAGAATCTTTCAAAGGCAAGATGAAACTAGATAGCGCAGAGTTTGCATATCTTGTTCTTGGGGGGTCGGGAGCCTTTTATAACCACCTCGCACACTCACTTCCAAGCTATGTCAGATCGGGCATGATTATTTCTGAGTTTCTGCCAGTTCGGATGTCATTCCTTTTGGCTGAAACCGCCACTGCTCCCTTTGTCGGAGCCGTTTCTGCGACTGGTGACGATGGTGGCAGGTGGCGGTGGTAGGAGGCCGTTTGAAGTGCGGCTGTCAAGCGTCAGATCCCAAGTCAGTAAGGTGCGCCGCCCTTGGATACGGACACCCTCGGTGTCAAGTGTGGTACGTTCGGTCAGCCTGCGTTTGGGAGGCGAAGCGCAGGAGTGGCGAGGCGAGGTGAAGTCTTGAGTTTGGATAGGGGAGTGCCCCGAACTGCCCGCCCCGAACTGCCATGAGGTGGGCCAGTTCGGGTCACTGTCTTGTGAGGCTCGAGCTCTTTGTAAGGAGCTCGGGTTTCCTAGAAGGGAGCTCGGACTGCTGGTTCCTTTGACACCCGTGCCTTGAATGCGCTGTTCCTTTGTCCCAAACTGTTTTGATTTTGCCACGTGGAATGATTGCGAGATCGGGCCAAATCTTCCTTCATCAAAATCTGTTTGTTCTACGAAACTTCGAGGACACGTAGGTGGTTATGGTTTATTCAATCTTTTCGGGTCTGTGGATCTGGAATTTTATCCTTTTTGTTTGCATAAGAACAAAAAATTTGCGATTTTGATTAGTTTCTTTTCAATTGATTTGGGTCAGTAGCTGACGCATTAATTTGGAATGGAAGATCTCATAATTTTGATGATAAATTTGTTTTTTTCCTATAATCAAACATCAGCCTTTCTCTGCCAACGTTTCGGACTTCCAGGTAAAGGTTCTCTCTTCTGGGCTTTTCTCTCTATTCTATTATGTTATAACTGGACTTTGGACTTTGGACTTTGGGTAGTAGTTAAGAAAAACCGAATACCATGCGCCAATAATAATATGATACGTCATTATTCACCTCTCACTCTCACTGAATCTCAATCTGTCTCCACCACCATTCTTGATTGCCGTTCTGATCTGTACTACTTAGCCCGCAAATCAAAGTCAACACTCATTTGCAGAAAAGACAGACATGTATGGATCATCATTAGTTAGATGATTTAAACTTATGATTGATTAAATTAAAGGGACGATGAATCAAGTAGGAGTCTTATGTAACAAAATGAATAAAAAATCCGACCAACCGACCTTCTCATTTTCTTATTCTATTTTCATGGCTGTTATCGTAGTCAGCTTCAAAACAACCTCGAGCCAAAGATTTTCTTTTTTCTTTTTTAGTATTGTAGCACCTCTTATAGTCTTTAGTGCGCAGGGTCCACACTCTGCTTTCTGTTATACTCAAAGCTGTCTCTTCTCTGTTGGTCCTGTCGCATTATTTCTACGATGGGTCGCATGATTTCCTCTTAAATTAAAAATTGATGTTTTAATTGATGTCTTTTTTTTTTTCAGAAAAGAAATGTATCTCTGCAGCCTCCTGGACGTCTGTTCTCTGATCGATATGTCCTGCAATATTTTCTTTGTGATTTACGTTTCCAGTCATCTCTTTGACTCGAGCCCATCATTTTAGCTTCAAAAGCTGGAGGCTTTAGTGGTCACGTTCCAGGTTTCTAGGTGTTTATCTTGGTGGGTCATGGCGATTTTGGTTAAACAATAGGACAAACGGTATCATAATACGTTTATTTGGTAATATCTTGATATCTAGTCTTAATCGATCTTTTTTGTTTTATCACTTTCTGTGCGTCTAATCTTTGAATTCGTGTTCGTGGTGGGGAATGGCTCTCGAGTAAGCAGTTGCCTTAATTGGAATTCAATTGTTACGAGGACGCAATTTATATATAATGCCCAGAGTTTGGTCTTCTCTTTCCTGAGAGTCGGTTATGATTCCTCTTATTTTCCGTGGTTGAATTATGGAGCTGGTTCATTTTCTTTTCTAACAAATCTGGAGATGGGTCCTCCTACCCAGTACCCACTCTGCTTAGCTGAAGTGGTGTCCGTAGCAACAAAAGATGATGATTTTCTGATAGTGAAAGAGACCTTCGCACTTTTATTATTATTGTGTTTTATCTTGAATTCCTGAACAGTTCTATTTTTCAAGTTGGAAAAACGACGTGCTGGGAGGACCATTGAGCACTCTTTCCAACTTGAGGTCATGGGTGTCTCTTCAACAAGGTTAAACTTTTTCTGTCCCATCTATTTGGTCCTATTAATCTTCTGTCTTAAGCACCGACGAAGCCGAACTGTTAAGTTGTCAATTGTTCCATTTGACTGCATGATAAGTGACTGCTACATACCTTTTTAAATTCGGAACAGTTTTTTCTGCCTTCGTTGTTTGGGTTTCTGAAGCAGTACAGAGTTTTGATCTATAGATGACGAGAACAAGAAGAGGGAAGCGTTCAGAGGTATGTACTATGTGCTTTGATTCTTAATCATCTGTCTTTATTTTGTGGTCAAATTTGTGATTGTTCATAGTTTAATTGGGCATATGTGCATGCATTCAGTCCTTTTGGCGTTCCATTGTAATGACGAAATGGTTAAATATTAAGCCCAAGGTGCATGAATTCAGTGAAGATGAGGTTGATACTGACGTCGAGAGTGAGGATGATGGTAAGGATTTTAGCTCTTGATCAGCAGAAGTAAATTGTAAATTGTCTACCATTGATCTTATTCATTTCTCTTCCATCCAGTGTGCTCTCTTACAGATGCAAAAGACGACATGGGTGGGGATCATGCTTGCAGGATCCAGGGGAACCAATCCGTATGCCCAAAGCAAGCTTCAGGTAACTGTGAACTTATTTCAACATTTTCTTTCTTCATTCGTGGATGAAACCTGCTTATTTCACTGTCATTTAGTCTTGAAACACTACCAATTTAATCTTTTGTCAAGTATAATATCTAATTGATTTTCATTTGCACATTTGTTTGATAAATATTAGGTTATATGAATAGTGCCTTCTTTTCCTTTCTTCATATTATTCCTTGCAACCCAGTATCAATACTTTCAATAAAGATTGTATCAGCCAACATTTGAATGATGTAACTATCATTTAATTATATGCAGGCATTTTGAAACTTCTTAAGTGCAAAGGCACTGTATATTTTCTTCCACTTCTTTTCTCTTTTTTGTTTTCAATGTATTAACTTGTTCATCCCGAATTTTTCAATCTTGCTGCTTTATGTTTGATTTTTTAGGACCTTCAAAGCCTTATCTGGTGAAGCATAGGAGAGGAAAGTCAGAAACTCTAAGAGTTCAGTACATAAATAGAAAGGATTTGAGGTTTGGCTGTATACCATGTTATTTGTAGTTTATTTTTTTTCTTTCTCCAAAGATATGGAAGTTATGGTCTGAACTTCAAATTGATATGTTGGTCTTGCTGAATTCTTCAATAAAATATGTGGTTTTGTAGAGTGATGGTAGGCACATGGAATGTTGCGGGAAGACTTCCATATGATGGTCTTGAGATTGAAGAATGGCTTTCTATGGAAGAACCAGCGGATATGTACATTCTTGGGTGGTTACTTTTCCTCAACTCAGTGGATTCTTTAAATTTCTCCAAATCTTATTGTCACCTTGTCACCAAATTTTTTTTTTCGAAAATACCTTGTAACCTAATGGCATAGGACAATTCTCTACCATTTAATATGGTGTTTGGATAAGCTTTTGCAAGCATTTACTGTTGGATGCATAAATAAATAAATGTAAGGAGTAAAGTACATGGGGGGGGCAGCAAATTTGTTTGCTTTCTTTAGAAACATTTCCTTTTAAGCTTTTCAAGACAAGTCAACCTCACAACTATACATATGGTGGATGGGAAAAATGCATATCTACTTTTAGACACAAAAGTAGAAAAAGATACTATTTCTTTTTCGCTTCAAAGCAAAAACTTATCCACAATACCCCAAGGCTCCAATGCCACCACTTATGGGACACATGGCCTTATATGGACATTCCCTTCAAAAGTGGTTCACTCAGATTCCTGTCAGCAAAATATTTATTTTTCAGAACGAATGGATCTATACATCTAAAGACTAAGATAACCCTGTTAATTTATTTCACTATTTTCTTCTTTACATGCTTGAGCCATCTCAGACTTGTTCACCTAGCATTGCTCTACTTATGAAACTTCACAATTTGTAATGGATGTAGGTGGTATCAATTACAATGTGAAGCAATACCTCAGTGCTGCCCCAATCATTAGCCTTAATAGGTTTTGCAGAAGAGGGAAAATAAAAAAGAATTTTCTCTCATTGTACCACAAATATCCACAATTTGTATATCAAAGTTTACAGACTAAAAGGATATATGGATGCTAGCTGGAATGAATTTAAATTGATTGTGGTTTTCTATTCCATTTGAGAGCAAAAATTCCCTATCCAAAATGAAGCTATTTCTGTATGCTAAGATAGAAACGATGTCATTTAAAGATTTCAAGAATCCTCCTAGTATCTTGGCTGATAACTTAGGTGATGTTTGGTACCATTGATGTTTTTTCCTGAAACCTTTTGGGTTAATCACAAATTGGTGAGAGATATGTCTTGTCACATCAAGTATGAGAGTCATTTCAGCTAGAATGACCCCCCCCCACCCCAACGTAGGAAGAAGCATTAAATTGGCAGTTCTACAAACATCTTCCCATGCATGCATTTTCATGTTATGCCTCTTTCAACTTACAACTCTGAACAGCCTCAAGTAACAGTTGTATGCCCAAGTGCTTCAGGTAGAAACAGCAATGCTACCAAACACAACCTTAGTCTTATATGAGGAGTGGGAGATACATCCACCATCTCCCATCCCCCGCCTTTTCTTCATTATACTTTATCTCATCATCAAATCATTTGAACTTAGCTTCATGTCATATATGTTGTATATCCTGTGTATCTTATGTTTTTTCTTCCCTTCCTCTTCTGGATATTTCTCCGCTCTATTTCTTTGATTATTAAACATCTTTTGATGTTATCGATAAAAAAGAAGAGGGCTTTAAAAAATTCAGAGCTTGATATTCTTATCTGGCAACAATTAAATAAATAAATAAGAACAAAAACATTATAGGGGTGTTCTCTAAAAGAACTGTTGCTCATGACCCTGCATGGCAACTGGCATAGAAGAAACATCACTCTTTCTTACAATGAGAAATGGAAACATTTTACTCAGTTGGCATGCCCAAGATTTCCAATTTTGGGTGGTGTAGCAGCATAGCAGCTAAATATTACTCTCTCTCTCTCTCTCTCTCTCTCCCCTTTACAAGTTCTTTTTGGCTTGTTTGACAACTGGATGTAGTAAGTTATTCTTTTTTTTTCCACATTAATCTCCATGGAGAGATATACATTAATGCAGTGTTAAGGCTTTGAGATCCTTGTTGAAAACTCCATGTCAGAATTTGCCAGGGTTGTGAATACCCTCAAACAAGCTCTTTCCATGTTCTTTGTCCTTTTTTTTGTACCTCTATACCATGTACAGCTGCTTGTCCTGTTCCTTGCCTGCATTAAGAAATTAAATTATAGCTAATTATTTTTTATTATCAAAATGAAGTAAAGTCGTAACAGAATTCATTATTTTTGTGTCCTCAAAGACCAAGATACTGATATTTTTTGTGCCAAAAAATTGTTCAATATTAAAACAAGGGTTCATGTGGCATCATCCTTGGTAGGGTGTTAAAAACCAGGAGACATGTTTTGATCTATAACCATTTTTTATATTTAGGTCTTCTGAATCTATTATAGGGACCATTGCTTGGTGAAATGGTAAATTCTCAGGCTGACAAGCTTGAGAATTTGGGTTTGAGACTTTGAGTCGGAGAGTGGATACTTTGTCCCTAAAAAAGGCCAAAGGTTAGGTTCATTTCCGGTCTATCCCTCCCAAAATACTGAGTAGTCAGGACCATCATTGGCTGCCTGCACTTTTCTTGAATGTCCAATGCCCTATTGATCATGGTCAAAGTTTACCACACCAAATTGATTCAGAACCTCTTTCTCTCTGTTGTTTAGTCATTGAGGAAGAGATACTTAGAGATTTGTAGTTTTTAATTTTTTTATTTGAGTCCCAATTGGATATATATCCAAACATCTGTTTCACTCTAGATTCCATTTATGTAGTTATTTTTACATTGGATAATAAGAGTGTTGAACATTTCATGTTTCTTGACATTGCACTTCAATCATCTCTGTAGTTTCCAAGAAGTGGTGCCTCTGAATGCTGGTAATGTACTAGGAGCAGAGGATAGCAGCCCAGTTCGGAAATGGGAGACAATCATCCGCAGAACTCTAAATAAATCTTTGGAATTTGGGACAAAATGTAAAAGTTATAGTGCTCCACCATCTCCAGTATTGAGGACATCTGCTGCAGCTGCTGCTAATGTACTTGCAAATGAGACAGATACTCCTGAAGGAGAGACAGTGAATAAGGAGCCACTGGGGCTTGCTGATCGTCCTGGCTTGGGAAGAAAAGAACTGAATAAAGTGAGAAGTAAAGCGAGACTAGATTGGCCTGAACATTCATTAGATTTGACTCCACAAGCTTTCCCTTCTACCAAAGGAATGCGAAGAGTCCTCAGTAGTTCTGCAAGAATTGGCTTTGATTGGATGGGGAAGCCTCTAGTTTTCACAAAAGAAGATTTAGAGTTGGGTGGTGGATTGAAACGAGTGTACCATAGTTCTGGAAACCTAGGAATGATGTGGATGGAGCAACAGGATCGTTCTGAAATACTTGTCATTTTCTGAAGTTTCTGATTTGTCTGAAGAGGAGGGAGATTCCTTTTTTGAAACAGAAAATGGAAATGGTGAAATTGGACATAAACAAGAAAGTGTGAAGATCCATTCCAAATATGCACGCATTGTAAGCAAACAGATGGTGGGAATATATGTATCAGTTTGGGTTCGTAGAAGGTTTAGGAGGCATATAAACAACTTGACAGTTTCTCCAGTTGGAGTTGGGATAATGGGCTACATGGGAAACAAGGTCTCCTGTGATCTTTCATTTTAAATGATGAAGGCATCTTTTAGTGATGTCTTTATGTAAGTAGTATTGACTTTTCTGGGTGTCTAATTGAAATTTTGTGGTTGGTAATGCAGGGATCTGTTTCTGTCAGCATGTCTGTTTTCCAATCACGGCTGTGCTTTGTCTGCTCACATCTAACATCTGGTCAGAAGGAGGGGGATGAACAGAGGCGTAACTCTGATGTGTATGAGATCTTACGACGCACCCAGTTTTCATCTTCCTTCAATGTCATTCAACCACTGACCATTCCATCACATGAGTAAGTATTTTCCTGACATTAGAATTTTCAGTTTTTTCAGAATCCACTCCATGATATTCATATGAAAACGATTATTTTGTTCAGAAATTTTGTTGCTTATTTAGATTTTACTGTGTTCATGTTTCTACTATGATCATGTATTATGTTATTTGAAATAAAGAAAAGAAGAATAATCACTTAAATATTTCAACGAACCTTTGAGGACAAAAACCTCTCTATGTGAAGGAGATTTCCTAGTTTCCTGAAAGACATTTTGGTATCTTTTATTAAGGAAGCTAATGAGTGTTTGATTATCAATTTACCTGATACACCTTACGCAATTAGTCAGGCCTGGAGTATACATGTTTTACTTTATCAGTAATCTTCTTTTTTGGTAGAAAACTCTATCTTTAATCAGGTCTACTTATTTCAATGCATTGATATTCATTTGGGAATTGGGTCTTATTTGGCCTGAGTAGTGAATAGAAGGCATCATCATCATTGACCTCATTCTACCTAATTGAGGATGGCAATGCGAGTTATTTTCTGCCCTACTGCTCTATTACCATATTTTTTTTTGATTGTTAACATCATATTTTCTTTTAAATAATGAACTAGTAAATCCTTTTTGTTTCCATTTCTTTAATGAAGTTGATTTTTTTCTTTTCTTGATACTTTGAAACAGTGACTAATTAGGCACTCTTCAAGGTATTGCGTTTGATGGTTGAGTCCCAAATCCTATGCCATGACCTGGATTAGGACCTAGACTGAAAGTATGAATTTAATTTCTGCCTTTCTGGACCTGACATAACATTCCTGCGTTTGTTTTAGTTCGTGAACTTGTATTATTGTTAATTAATTAAGTTTAATAGGATGCATTTGGTCTTAGAAATTCTCCATTCAATGAGTAGTGTTATGATCTATATCTGATAGTTGCTTTTTATTGCTGAATTCCTTAATAGTAGCAAATTTATAGTTTTTGTCAGTTTTCAGCTAGAAACCAACTCATGAGGATCAGCCTGTGAGCACAAGAAGCTGAAAATAAAAAGGGGATTATGCAGAAAACTGCTGAGAACTGTTTTGTATTGCTGATTTGGGGAGATAAATAGGCAGTTAGGACCATTACATGATAGACCTAACCTTCCACATTTCCTTGCACAAAGTCGCCACTTCCAGACTTAAACCCATGTTCTGATACTTTTCATCTCTAGATATTATATTTGCACCAAGCAGTGGCACCTAGATGGATAGGCGGTTAGACATTTTATTTTTGAATTCCATAGTAATTGTAAGTAAATATTTTCATAAGTTGAGTCAAAGCTTTCTGTTAAAGAATGGGCCAGCACATCATATGACCTCATCATATTTAAAGTTCAAATGTAAACACGTTCTTATTTAACTGCTTACAAAAATTGCAATTTTGACTTGGTTAGAAAGGCTTGAGAAACTTTTTGATGTCGAAGGAGATAATCAGATGCTTCATTTTATTGATTAGAAGCAGATCAAGAGCATTAGGATGAAATGTTTAGAACTGATTAAAGGGTCATCACCTAAGAATTTGTGCAAAAGATGAGTTCAATTTGATGGTCTGTCCCTTTTATCACTCTTGTAAGGAGGATTATTTCTTTCTTTTTTTCTAAATAATACACATTTGATTTGGTCATGAATGTCTGATGGGTTTTATATATGATGAACAGTCAAATTTTCTGGTTTGGAGATTTGAATTACCGTCTAAATATGTTGGATACTGAGGTGAGAAAGCTCGTGGCTAGGAAACAATGGATTGAGCTTATCAACAACGATCAGGTAAGACAAGTAGCATATTACTTTTTTGATTGTTGCAAAATCTGGTATGACTTGACTGAACCATCTGAATATTCCAATCTGAAATGTCTAAGAACACTTTTGTTCCCTTTCTCTGAGCTTGTGATATATTGGGTTTTGGCTTCATTTACCTAAAACTTGGAGTGAGAATAATTAAAATGGATCTTTTGTAATATTGGATGAGTGGAGTAGCAATGGGGAGTGTGACTATGCTGGGCTCAGTCTTAGAATTAGTGGAGCATAAAGCACTCATTAGTTCATGGGGAAAAGCTATCAAGTAAGACGTATGTGTCTTTATGCAGTCAAATACTACCATTATATAGAATTCAGTGTCAACTACACACAAACTTAACTATTTTAGGTCATATAATGTCCTTGATTAATACTTTCAGTCCATGCTAACCAACTACGTGGTTTGATTTCCTTGTTTAATCTTTATGTTTTTTCATCAGTGGTACATTTTGATTGTGAAAAGAAAGTTGATAAGATCATGTTGAATGTGACAGCTAGTCAAAGAACTTCGCAGTGGGCATGCTTTTGATGGATGGAAGGAAGGGGTGATAGACTTTCCACCCACTTATAAGTATGCGTTTGACTCAGATAGATATGTTGGAGAAAACCCAAAAGAAGGAGAGAAGAAGAGATCCCCTGCATGGTAAGGACAGTTTTTTTTTTTTCTTAAAGGGGTTTTATGCTTTAACTAGTGCACATGTTAATGAGATATATTAGAGAAAATAAAGTAGCTTATAGCTAGTAGAGAAGAAAAACCATCCATGCCTGGCTGCATTAAGTGATGTTCTACGTACTGTTTTTGTTAGATGTGTTATCATTATTGAGTTTCTATGGATCCTTGAACTAAATGGCAACAATATGCTAGACAAAAACTATAGTACCAATTCCTACCATTGACATAGTATCTTGTAGAAATGTAGTTTTACAATGATTAGGAGGATTTCTTAATTATGGAGCTCATGATGCAGACATAAGGAAAGAATCCATTGAGACAGGAATTAGTTTTCTCCCAATTTCTCATCTATAGGTGATGTAGGAGCTGAAGAGTCAAAATTGGAATTTTATGTATTTCTGTATTTTTGGACAGTAGGGGTATTTTTGCCATTTTGCAATTTTCTGTGGGGCCCAATGATAGGGTTTAATTTGTCTATTTATAGTTTGTTTATGTTTAAAATTTCAGAGTCATTGCATAGGTAGGATTAGAGTTATTGAGTCTTCTTTGAATTGAAATAGGATATGACAGCTTAGTTTGAGTCCTACTAGGATTAGAGTCTAACAGTTTGACTCCTAAGACTATTATGAGTCTAACAGTTTGACTCCTAGGATTATTATGAGTTTAGAGTCTGTAAATATGTATGGACGTTTTACACAAAGGCAATGAAGTTTATTGAGTTTTCTTCAGCTTATGCTAGCTATGGTGAGTGATTCCCATGCCCTAGAGTGATTCTAGGCACCCTGTGAGTGATTCCAGGTATTTTCTCTCTTCTTTCTCTCCCTATTTTCTCTCTTATTCCTTCAAGAAGCCATTACATCCATCAACAGCCATAAAATTCTGATCCAAGAAGACCATTCAACATCCTCTAAGGACTAGAACTGAGCTGGTCCTACATCAATAGGTAATTTTGTATTTTTTGTTGATTTGTTTTTTTTTTTTAATTTTTGAGTTTTTAAAATTTATTTCTAGTTTTTAGTGTCTTAAGAGTAGGGCTAATAATTTTGAAGGATCAATTTATTTTATAGAGTCTTACTAGAGAGTTTTTGAAATTTTGAAAAGTTGAAAATGTAATCATGTCAATTTTCTTTTGCTTTATTTTTCAGGGGTCAAAACTTGTCCATTTTAGATGTTTTTGTGTCATTTGATAGATAATTGAGTTATTTTATCCAGCAAGAGTAAGATCTTGTAAATCTTATGTGTTTTAAGGGAGTTATGGTCATTGTAGTGATAGAGGGTCAGTTTGTGACAGAATTTGAGTCTTTCTTTTACTTTGTGTCAGCCTTGGATATGTTTTCATTTTGTATAGTTGTAATAGGATTAGGAAAATGTCATTGAAGTTATAGAGCCATTATTTTGGTGCCCATATTGGTTACCTATTGGGTTGTCTTACTTTTTAAGAATTGACGGTTTTTTTGGTAGGTTTTTTAATCTAAATTAGAGTCTGTAAAGGGAGATACAAAGCCTCATGTTTAGTCTATAAATAGAGTATTGTAATTGAATTTGCAGAGTTAGTTTAATGAAATAAAGGTTTATCTTGTAGTTTCCTATGGGTAATAGTGTGTTATATTCTTATCTCATTCTCTTCTGAATTTATTTTCTAGTTTTTAGTGTTTTAAGAGTAGGGCTAATCATTCAAATGTTCAATTGACTTCATAGTCTTACTAGAGAATTTCTGAAAATTTGAAATGTTGAAGTTTTTGGGTATTGTATGTAGAACTTAGTAAAAAGAGAGAACTATATATTCAAAACTTTAGGCTCAGTTTGGAATTGGAAGGAGTACAAAAGCAAATATATATAATGCAAAACCTTATATTTTATATTATTTTGTACGTATTTATACTGTACATATTTGTATTTGTACTTTTTCCAAACTGAGCTTTAACTTCAGATGCAGAAATTCTTCCATGATCACGTGCATAGAAAACCATCAACAGTGCCTGTAAGAAAAGTGATTTATTGCAGGTTGAAGGGGCTAGAAGGGCTAAGGGTAGACTAAAAGGGACATGGGTAGAAGTAGTAAGAAATGATTTAAACACCAATAATTTAACAATGATATGACATTGGATGGAACGGAATGGTGAAACAGGATTCATGTAGCTGACCGGTTGTAGTTGGGATAAGGTTTGGGTGATGATAATGGTGATGCATAAATTCTTCACATAGGATCACTTCTCTTTGTTTGTGTTAACATGCTGCTGAAACTGTCCTAATATATCCCTTTTACCTTTGACTTCCTGTTATTGCAAAGTGTAGATAAAAAGAAGATAGTGGCATGATTATTATCATTTTTTCTTTTTGGCTGGGCATGACCAGCACCATCAAATAAAAGATTTGCATTTTTGTGTACATGGGACAGACTTTTTTGTCAGCATGTAGGTGTGATCGCATTCTGTGGTTAGGGAAAGGCATCAAACAGCTTTCATACAAGCGAGCTGAAATAAGGCTCTCAGATCATCGTCCTGTTAGCTCAATCTTCTTGGTTGAGGTTGAAGTCTTTGACCATCAGAAGCTCCAGAGGGCTCTAAATTTTACTAATGCCACAGTACATCCTGAAAGCTTCTCTGAGGAAGATGTTAATTGAGGTAATTAAATATCCATGTTCACAATACCACTTTTAGTACTTTATTTGGGTATTTAAAATTATAATTATTTTACTTGAGCTCTTGAGAGGGCTTGACTCAATTTACATAGAGTGGTAAGGAAAAATAAAATAAAAAAAATGACCAAGCAAGGATTCAATTAGATCTACATCTTAGGAATATTGACCTTGATGTTCATAACAGGTCCCATCACAGATCGTGATTTAGTGCAGGGTGAGTGACTGTAGGAAAGAAGATTTCTGGTGACTGGAAGTCTGGAACAACTTGATGACATACTGGTTGTGTTTGGTGAGTGTTGAAGTCAGCAGACACAACTAATGTGATTTTATTGAAGGTCACACTTTTGGAACATTGTTACATAGACACAGACATGAGAATCAGAATCTGACATGTGTCCAGGATTCTGACTTAGTGAACCCAAAAAAGCAGGAATGGTGGACATATATCACATAAATAATATCGTATTAAATATTATGGTTTTTAATGTCATTCTTAAAATTCGTAGAACTAGACAATAATAACAGCTTAAATTGTTAAATTACAATTTACAAATTAAACTCGTCTTTGCTTATTTTCTATGTAGCTACATCAGTTGCTTTCAAGTGTTTTCATAAGCTCACTGTTAATTGGGAAAGATCCAATAAAACCATGGGTCATTGTAAATTGAGAAAATGCAAGTACTAGAGCCTCCTATTGGACAGCTTAAATGGTAGGACCACTATTACATAGAGGTGTTCAAAATTTAAAGTGAGGAGGATTCATAATTTTGAGAGATGTTGATGTGGCAGGCAATTTAGAAAATCTTATAATTCACACTATTGCATAGAGCTGCGTCTGACACATGGTTTAGAGAGTCTGACAAAAGTTGACTCCCAAGTCCCCTCCAAAAGTAGATTAAGGACAACTGAGGAAAGATTAAGGATGTCCTGAAAGCAAGTCAAGCTTGGAGAGGACAACTGAGGAAAGATTAAGGATGTCAAGCTAGTCAATCCAAATTTGCCTTGATCTAATATAACCACACATATACTTTTATGCATCCTTCATCCAAAATAATGACTGAAAGTGGTTGTTATGTTTGAGTGATTGAATATATGTTCATTATTCATTTGGTAAATGTTTCACAATATAATATTTTCCTTTTAATGGAAAAGACACAATGACAGAAGAGAAGGGGGAAAGGAAAAGAGGAGTAAAATAATCTTGAATATTTATTTTTATTCTAGTGTTTTTCATGAAATATGTATTAAATTTCTATTTTTTTGTGGCTTCTGCATCTTGGCCTTTTAGGTTATTTGAAATTTGAATGTTATGCTGTTAGTAGCATATAATGTTTGGATGTGGTTGAGGAAAAAGACTGTGCATGAAAAAACTCTTGCTGACAAAAGTCTTCAGGGACCAAGTAAGTGGTAGTAATAATGGGAAAAAGTAGCAGCAATGATAATAGGATCAAGAAGATAACTATGATAAGAATAGCAACAGTAATACTAACAAAAAGAAGAATAATAATGGTAAGAACAACATTGAGCTTCAGTAGTGGCTACACAGAAAGTTCCAACAAAAATTGCACTATGGTGCATTTCTGACTTGTATCCATGTCGATGAGTGATTTAAGATCAGTTTCATTGTGGTTGTAATTGTTCACTCGATGAATCTCATTTAGTTTATCTCCTACTTAAAATTTAAAAAAAGTGAATGAATGAATAATTGCAACCATCTGAAATATGTTGGTTAATGATCATCTCAAGGGATTAATTTTATCTGACGATCTCATAATACAGAACAACTAATACCATCTTCTCCATACATCATTGTTGTCAATTTGTTATAGTAACTACCATACAGAAGACTTTGTATAACTATCCTTAACCAAAATTAAAATAACAAACCAATGATCATTTGTTAACGGCTGAGGTGGTTAAACTGAATGACTTGTTACTTTGTCTTTTAGTGGATAAATATTCAGGTGCAACCCAACTTCAGCTTCATCCATTAAGATATTACAGCCTCCTTCATAACTTATTCACTAAAAGACAAAGCAATACGTTATTCAGTTTATCCATTTCAGCTGTTATCAAATGGCCCCCAAGTCTTAGTATACATATCATTTGTGCAGGGAGAACTTGAGGAAGGTAATTTGAAGTCCTGATGACATTGGAAGAAAATCTCCATGCATAGTGTTTTCAAATTCTGACTAGATTTCCTTCTCTATGCCATTTGGTGATGTGGCTACAAGACACTAATCAGCAAGCTCTGCAAGGAAGCATTATCAAATGACATCAATTTAAGTACTCATGAGAGGAATCCAAGTAATGCAAGGAGTTTTGGCCTGCTTTATTAGTAAGGAATATTTCATACTTTTAGGTAAGGAATCGAAGTTTTATTCCTAAATGATAAAATGTATAGAGAAAAACAAAATCTCCTCTGTAAATATGTGGATGTATTGTGTTTGGGTTGGATAATCATGATTTTGTACAATCAGTTTTTCTGTTCTAGAGGAAGAAGACATTGTAACCATTTAGGGAAGTGTTTTGTTACTATCCTTTGATGACAGGTAGGCTCCCTGATGTCAAGCATATGATCTACTTTATTCTCTCTAGTCTATTTTCATTTACTATGGAGGAAAGTTTGATGCATTTCAAAAGAGATGTGCTTGAGGATTAACCTAAAAGGGGGAATAAAGAAGTGAGCACAAAGTTGATTTCGAATAGAAAGATCACACCCTCACTGCGTGATCATTGATAGTATTTATAGTTGTTTTGATATGGTTATCATGTACAAGGATAAATACAAGTGGAGATCAGATTGGTTAAGAATTTTGTCTTATCTTGATTAGTTACAGAAGATGATGTTTATTTGGGTTAGCTGGCGTATGGATGAGGTTTATCTTGGATAGCTGGTGTGTGGGCCAATGCATGGGCCTGAGGAGTGGGCTCACTATCATCCCCCCTCAAGCTGGACGGGAGTGTGCATACGTGCAGCTTGTGAAGAAAATGAAGCAGACGGGCAACTGGCAGACTTTTGGTGAAGAGATTTGCTAGTTAACCATGAGATGGCACGTGACGGATGGTGTGTTCGGAAGCGTGTCGTTAAACACTTCGAAACACCAGTTTAACCATTTATAATTTTTACCATTTCTTAAACAACTACTAACGTAGTAAAGGGATGGGAATGGGTCGTATCCATAGGGAAGTGAGGAAAACATTAATATACACTCAAATCCGGACAAGATAACACAAGAGGGAAGTGCAAAAATATAAGAATTAATTAATTAAACTGAGAAGAATATAGAATTCGAACAGTATTGAAAGTTACAAGTGCAAAAACATAAATAAATATAGAAATAAATTAATAAAAGAAATGAAATAAAAATCTGTAATCCGACCAGAGGTAGCAGTCTCCGGATCTCTCATTTGACCCTCGAACTTCTCGAGCTAGGCCTTCCGTCTTACCTGGTCGAATTGCAGATCTACAGAAAATAAAACGAAGATCAAACGGAATGAAAATAATTTGCATAAAGTAAATAATGAAACTGGAATTGAAAGAACATAAATTAAAACTAAAATAAAGTAAAAGTGGTTGGGATCCGATTCCAGAGGTGGCAGTAGTGGTGTTGGCAAACTGCAAGTAGGAACCCCTCTTGCCTGGGCGTCCTCCTCTTCCTTTACCCTTGAACTTCTCAAGATCAGTCTTCCGTCTTACCTGGGGGTAGAATCCAACCCTTTCTCAGGAGCCTTAGGGTCCTTTTTATAGTGAAGGGTGGACATAATTGGAAATAGGGAGAAAGATGGGGGGCAGCAGTTGGGATTTAGCAAAGTTAGGGACGCCCTAGGCTTTCTAATGGATGGCTAAGATGGTTTTGGGGTGATCCTATGGCTGAAAATAAAAAGAGAGGATGCCCAATATTATGTAGGGTTGAGATTTGGGCGCCAGAAATGGTGGGTGTAGATTAGAACATCTAGGGTTGAAGGGTTAAGATTAAAAGAATAGGTGGTGCCCTAGATTGAATGGTTGGGATATAAGATGGAGGCAGTGGCTGAGATTTAATGGTGGGGAGCTGAATGGTGAGGATTAGCAAAATAGGTGGCGCCTTAGGGTTTAAAAGCTATAAAGGAGAGCCCTAAAATGAGTGGTTGAGATTAAAAGAGGTGGAGGGTGGAGATTGAACACCTAGGGGTGCCTAGGGTTTGCTAAGAGTGAAAAGATTAGGTTAAAAAGGCTCCATAGGGTTTGCTAAGGAGAGGGAAGCATGGTAATACAATAGGATGGGCACCAACTGGGTTTAGCAGATAGAAGGCGCCCTCCTGTTTTCAGTTCTTTACAAAAACACCCATTCTTAGTTGGTTTTCACACCAGCTCCCAAAAAATTGCACTTCAGCCTAGAAAACTTCCCAGTTTTCTACATAATTTGCATAGAGACCCTCAGAGGTCACATAATTGATTTTAACTGGGAAAATTGTACACTTTAACTATTCTAAGGCTGAAAATACCCTTGAATTGATGCCCTTAAGGCATTAAAATGTAGAATTATCACACCCCACAACTTAAACATTGCTAGTCCCTTAGCAATGCAGCCTTAAAATTACACTGATCATAGAGATCTTTCCCATCTCAAGATCCTCCCTGATAGAATTAGTCAAGCATCCTGATTCCAGCTTTCTCAAACTCTGTATAGATCGGTATTGGGTTTTAGGGGTAAAACTGTCTTGTTTTGAATATTATAGAAACTTTGCTTAAAAATCTTATTTACCCTTCCATTTGCAGATTGTCTTGATAAATTGAGGTTGATTTTTAAAATCAGACATGTATTCTTCTTATCATTTCTGACAGTAGATTTCTACCCCTGAACTTGATTTGTATACTTTTTTTTATTGCTACTTTCAATTGTTTAATGCGAATCTCGACACTTGCCTTAGGTGAAGAGACCCGGTTACTAAGTGTTAGGTGAGTGTCTTCGGCATTCCTTATTTCGTTTGACGCAAATCTCGACACTTGACTTAGGTGAAGAGACCCGATTACTAAGTCTAGGGTGTCCATTGACCTTTTATTCTCTCTTTTTTTGCAGAAGCACATGTTAGGGTAGTCCACTGTCTCTAACAATTTTGAAGAATTTTTTTTGTCTAATTTCTCAATCTCTGTCTTCTTATTTTGGCAGGGGCAAACTTGGGAGTATTTTCAAATTTCTAAATGGTTTCAACAATATTCAAATAAGACCAATTTTTTACTCCTATCATTTGCTACCAATTTCTACAGAATTCAATATTCTTTTATCRGTTTCCTCAACTTTTTCTATTTGGGAATCTCTTTTAATGGAAAATTTTTTAAATTTTCAATGAAATTTTAATTCTACATATTTAAAGGCTTAGTTTTTTTTCAATATATATATATATATATTTTAATTTTTCTCTCTCTTTCTTCACCCCTCCAACTTAAATGCCATTGTCCCCAATGGCATAACTAGACTGATGTAAAAAAGGCTTGGGACAAAGGGAACAATTAATAGGTTTTCTTGAGGGGTTCAAGGTTTGCCACCTGGTCTCGAATCAAGAAAAGAAAAAGCTCAAATCCTAAAAGAAGAAAAACTAAAAATTACATTGGGTTGCCTCCCAACCAGAGCTAAGTCTAACGTCTTCAGCCAGACACATTCACACACTTCTTCCATCTACACTCTCCGACTCACTTTCATCTTCATACAAACATGGCTTATACTGGACTAACCAAGGGGCAGACAGGGCATCTAAAAGATCATCAACTACATTTATTTTGCACTCATCTTCCCCTCGGTTTGGATGCTTAGAGGCACTAAAAGCATTTAACGGGGCTTTCTGCTCCCCAAATGAAATGTCTATTTCTCCCAATTTATAGTTGGTGTTTGTATTGGCCGCTGCTAAAAATTAACATCTTAAGATTATCGGGATATAGTTCAGTTCCTCGGTTGGGGACATGCCTAGGATGATAAAATCCAATGGAAAGTGACAACCCTCTACCCTAACAATGATGTCCTCGATAACACTTCGAGGAGTCTTGACCGACCAATTAGCGAATTGTAGAATTATCGGAGTAGGTTTTAACTCGTTGATCCTAAACCTATCATAAATAGACGGAAGCAGATTTATACTGGCCCCAAGATCTAATAGGGCCTGCTCGAAGGTGATTCCAGAGATGACACAGTTTATGAGAGGAGCATCTAGGTCTTTCAGCTTCCAAGGAAGTTGGTTTAGGAGAACCGCACTAACATTTGCCGAGAGCATCACTTTTTGTGGGGCCGATCGTGGCTCCATCATTTGACTGCATAGCTCTTTCAAGAACTTGGCATAGGTCGGGATATGTTGGATCGCATCAGGGAGAGGGAAGTTAATATGGACTTCTTTGCTCTCCTCGTTGCGAGTCTCTTTGTTCTTTCGCACCGGCTCAACTGTGAGTGCAGTTGGAAAGGGAACTATGGGTTGATTCACTATAGGCTCTAGATTTTCCTTTCCTTTTTCTTTCCCCCCAACTTATGGTTTTCTTGCTCCTTTCTTCTTCATTAATTATCTTTTCCTCACATGGTTCCTCTAAAATCCTCCCACTCCTTAAAGTTATAATAGCCTTGATATTTTCAAGCTCAAGGTTCCTAGGAGGTGGTTGAATCTTCTGTGGAGGAAAACCCGGTGACTGATTTCTAGGGTTCACAACCGATTGACTCGATAGTTGCTCTACTTCTCTCCTCGGTGGATTGTTGCTGATTTAGGATCAGCTGCTGAAGCTGCATGAATTGGTTATCTACTGTATGGGCTTAAGGAGGTTGTGGGTAAGCTTGAGCTGGTTGATTCCTAGGGTACATCTGCTGGAATTGGTTTTGTACTTGTGGCCTCTGAAATTGTTGGGCCATGGAGTTAGATGGATGATAATACTATTGGGACTGTGTATAGGTTTGACATGATTGAGCCGGTTGAGTCCCAGGGTAACCATTGTACTATTAGTGGGCCTGGGCTTCAGACCATTGGGAGTGCCTCTCTGGCAGGGGGTTTCTTGGTTTTGGGCCCTATAAGTGAAGTTGGGCTGATTTTCCCACCCAGGGTTGTATGGGCTAAAGAATGGGTTAGCATTGGGTTGGAAAAATCTATTGGCCGCATGTACTTGGTTTGGAATGACTGCTTGACATAGGCCCGCCGCAGGGCACTGGCAAACATGATGGGTCGGGCTTGCACAGATGGAACATGATGGATATGATGACAAGGTTGGGTATGGTTGTCGATATGCAAGGACTTGGTCAAGTCTTTGGGCCATCCCATTAATCTTGCTCAGTTGTCGAGACACATAGTTCCAATCTATTTGTGGTTCAGGTTGGAAGTAGTTTCTCATTCCACAAACTCCAGCCATTGAATTTATTTTCTCTTATTTTGACCCCATTTTTTTTAATTTGAAATTTAAATTCAAATTCAAATTTTGAAATTTAAATTCCGCAATTTAAACTCAAATTTGAATGTTAAATTTTTTTTTGAAGTTTGAAATTTAAACTTCAAAAATTTAAATTCCTAAAATTTAAATTCAAATTTGATTTTTTTTTAAATTTTTTTGTTTC